TGGAATTTCGCTTCTATTTGCAAATAGTCAGCAATTCATTGATCTGGCAAATATCAAAAAATGCAATACGTTTGGTGGCAACGTCTTTCTTCTGGAGGAATTTGATCGTAAGCGAAATGAGCTTGTGCAACGACGGTACTACTCTCAAATGGCTGACCAAATTTGTTACGCAGTGCTATGTGTATTCAGCTTCGCCGCGGCTGGTCATAAGAAAACAAATTGAAAGTTCAGGACTCTTAAATTTTTTTGTCGAATAACGTTTTAAGAAACTTTTTTACAAGTCTCACTTCCAAGCTAGATGGGTTTCTCAGTTTTTTTTTTCATTTTTCATCTGATATGATTCTAGTTGTTGTGTTTGTTTTTGCCAATCGCTTGACTCATTCATTCCTATTAGATCACTAGTTGATGATGTGCTCATGTTGTTACATCTTTTGCTCTCGATGAATTCTGTAAATATAACTAAGATGGTACTATCTGAAGCCTAATGTCTTGTTGATGTTTGTAGATATGTACACTTTATTCCTTTCCTAGCCAGTTTGCAAATATTAGAATAAATTTTCTGGGTCAAAAAAATAAATAGATTTCAAAAAATTCCTACAGAAATGCTGTAAAAGGGCATGTCGCGAGATCGGTGAACCACATCGAGATCGTCTCTGCTCTTTTTGTTTTAAGTTGTGCAGCGTTGGAACAGGGTGTGCACACATCCGCTTAGAAGGAACTTCGTGGTCTAGTGCTTGACGTAGACATTTCTATGAGTTTCAGTAACGAAGTGGACGGATTTGAACTTTTAAAGAAGCACGTGGCGAATATGGGTACACCGCTGGTTTATTACATAGTTAAGTAAGCAAGGATAGGTAGTGTCCTTTCATAGTAATCTTATGGAAGCTTTCGAAGATTCCAGAGAACTGGACCGCCGCGGAACTTTCGTTTGATACTATCCGCACAACCTAATAGCTACAGCACGACAAGAAAAGGCTGAAGTGCACTAAGCTGGTAATCTTAGCGGATGTAAGGATGTGCCCTTTTCATTCCATTTCTACCCTTACCTACACCCTCCCTTTGGTTATGGGTCGTGGCGGTGGAAAATCGTCGTACTAAACAAAAATACGCATTCAATTTCCACCTCGTTAATGAAAAGTGTCGAGTGCGCGGCGCAACCCGCTGATCGACTTATTCAATACCGCACCAGGTAATTATGTACCTACATGCCGTAACACAGGCGTTTCGGCATCAGAAGCATGAAGACCCAATTACTTGGCAAATATTGCGGTAATAAAAACTGAGTAGACGAATTATCACATGCAACAAAAGTTCCCAGTTTTTTAGAAATAATCCGATTTGCGTAGGAAAAAAATGTGATGCCGAACGCCGACGGTTCGTGGCTTAGGCTTATCGAACTGTTCGGGGACTCGTCAAAATTTTTGACCCGAATCGGATTATTTTCCGAGACGCTGCAAAATGTAATCAAAATGACGTATCGTAATAATCGCTTTGAACAATATCATCAAAGCCCTAAGCCTGTATCGTCGTTCTGATTTACTGAGAGCAGACTTGGGGGTGATCCGAATTTTTAAGGGATCCGTGGAATTTGGGGTGCTATCACGGTACCGTAGTTCAAGAGCTACTTTGATTTGAGAAATGAGTGAAAGTTGCTCAACAGTTGCGTGTTTGCCAGGGCAATTCAGCCTGCGGTTTTGATCCATCGATCTCTTGGCCCATAACTCAGAGCTCGGTTGATCATAGAAGGGAAGTCCACCGAAGCTGATGGATATTCATAAAACGGGCATTGTTTCGGTGACTGGCACTACCCCACACTTCAATTAAACATTGAGCAAGACCACACAGCATGTAGTTCACAGTTCCCTAGAAGGCACCAAAGTCAAGCGAATTAACGCAATCAGTAGTTAAGAAAACCGAGTGGCCGCACTAAGTGTGTGGCGCAGTCCCAGGAGTCATCAACAACACGTAGATATTTACTCATATAATACCAAAGAGAGATCATAAGGTTAGAATGCTACTAGAAGAAGCAAACGTCAACTTTGCAGCTCTCAAATAATCCGAATGCGGGCAATGAGCCCCATTTCCCACTCTACTCCATTCGTCATGCTAATCCCTGAGTATACCCGGGAGAATCTAGTTTAGAATCACCTTCAAAAAACGGCTAGCCCCTTTCCCTTTTGCATTTCCAAGTCCACAACAGGAAAAGAAAAGTGCAATAGCGTGGGACACGCTAATGGGCAACAGAACCGGTAGCCACTACCCGTATAGTGACAGTGGAGTCACGCATCATTTTCAAGATGACGTCAATTTCTGGTTATCCTTCGGAGGAATCGTAGGTGGGTAGCCCGTTGCCGATGATTCTACGAGATAAGCCTCCGATGTTGGTATTTATTTTTATTTATTTATCTATTTATACATTCGCCTGATGCACCATTAATGGTAAATAACTTAGGGCAATTGAGTTACTCACAGGGACATTTCGCGATGAGTTATTGGACCTGCACTGGATGGTACAGTGTCGATGCAAAACAGTCAACCAGTTACAGAAAACAAGAAAATCTGCAGAAACATCGAACTAAAAGACCTTTTTTGACCCAGCGCACGTCTGAGGCTGGACGAGATGTATAGAGGGCAAAAAGGAGTGTTTGGACGAGATTTCAGTAGCAGTATGTAATAGCTATTAGCGTGGAGCAGTTCAGTTAACTGCACTTACAGCAAGCGTGCTCCACTTCAAATGTCATCAGTCACTACATAGCTGCTAAACACGTCCTTTTCCTGACTCTAATCGCTTACTATAAACGCACACACAAGTTAAGCATGAGTTTGCATCATAACCATGTACATAATTTCATAGGATGAAAATCAATCAACAAATAAAGAATGATGGACGAGTTATAGTCTTCAAGTGATGCTTACCTGGACGAGTTTTTCGAACGCATCACCGAAACTTTTGTTTTCAGAGTCCACGTTGTTCATATGTTCACATATGATAACTTGTTCTGGTTGAGGTGATGTCCTTGGTGTCGGATATGGGAAACAGTTGATGATCTGTAATAGGACGAGTTTTATTCAAAGAACGATGATTAGGGGCTAAAAGCTTCCCTAGTGAAGCCTAATGACTTATATTAGGGCATATGTTGTGACTCAGAAAGAATTTCGTGCAAGCCTGGATTAATGCTGGCGAGTGAAGCTCAAGCAAGCGACTCGAATCCTTCAAAGAATACCAACCTTGACAGGATTTCAGATAAATAGCCACTGGCCCCACTCTCTGCCCTAATGGTGTCCTTCAAAGGTCACTTCGACTGGGTGACTGAGGTAGAGGAAGGTTGCACTAAGTCACATGCCGCGCGGCAAGACAACTAGTAAAGACAACTGGCGAAGAGGCAACACGAGACGAGACAACTAACTAGTAAGAGGTTCTTGACTGTGGGCGGATTCAGGCTACCACTGTACCACTGTGGACAGCTTGCCTGACACCATCCCCTCTACG